CCCTGCCGCTGGGGAGGGCCACCCGCACCCCTCCCGCCTCCGCGCAGCGCCCCCTGCCGCGGGAGATGGGCGCCCACCTGCCCTGCCGGTGCCCCCTCCCGGTGCTTCCCCCGCCCCGCCCGCCCCCAGGACGAGGCAGAGACTTGGCTTCACAGTGGTTTAATGCGAACGGAACCGGGACGTTACACTGGACAGGGTGGAGACAGCTGGGTAGATGGCAGCCCCGCGGCAGGACAGGCAGGAGGAAGGGGCCGCCCCAAGCAGGAGCCGGCAGCAGCGCGGGGATGGGGGCTGAGCCCCGCTGCGGGCACAGCTACCTCCACAGGCACCAGCTTCCACGCTGCCCCACAGCCCTTCCCAGGCCAAGCCGGCCCCCAGAGCAGTTCCCTCCCGGTTTCAGCGACTTCTTCTCCTTGCCAAGAGCCACCTCTCGCCCAGCAGTGCCAGTTCCTCACCAGAAAACCCAGGAGACGTGAGGGAGGCCTTGGGGGACATGCTTGGCAGGAAAGGGACGGCAGTCACTGCAGGCCTATGCTCCAAGAAAGGCTCAACTGTGCCGCCACAAAGTGACCAAGCGCTTATAAGCCAGCCAGCCTTGACCTGAGGAGCCCCCAAGCTGAGGCCCAACCTCGCTCATTGCAGCCGTGGCAGCTGGAGGAACCTCCAAAGGACAGTTCTGCTGCAGCAAGTCGCAGCCTCGTGGTCTCCCTCAAGCTCTGAATGCTTCCCTGACTAGTCTTGTGTCCTCGCTTCCACACAAGTAACTGCCTAGCTCACTGCAGAACAGGGGAGAACACACAAAAAGCCACTGTTACTTCTCCTGCTTCGTAAGCAAATGTTTAGCCCAGGACTGACCGACCATTTTCTGCCGTCCCTTTCTGGAGAGGTGGCCTCACCCCAGGCCCCACTGCTGGGCTCCTCCTGTGACAGCCATCATGGCCGCACACTACAACAGCCCCCACCAGCCCTCTCCTACTCCTCCTCAGCCATACCCGCCTCCTCCCCTCTGCAGCTGGGGTGCAGGATAAGGTCACCATGGCTCAGCTGAGCAGGGCACTGCTGGAAACACCACCACACCAGCCTGCAGCAGAGCAAGCTGTGGCATGTTTTAAACCCTGGGCCAAGGCATCACAGCACACACTGCTACAGCCCAGGCTATCCCAGCTTCCACACGCCAAACTGCCCACGCAGAGCATCATGAGAGCACACGTCATGGAAACCCCTCGAGCTGCCAGCAGCACGTTAGAAAGGAGGGGGATTAACACGAATACACCAAACGGGTCTGTAATGCAGGAGGCTGAGAGCAGGGTTAGAGTACGTCTTGGGTCTCAGCATTTCCAGACAGTGAAGAATGGGGGTTTCATGCAGGGTGAATGGGGTGGACGAGAGACCAACACACCCAGGCACCTACTCACTGTTTTGGATAAGCCTTACTAAAACTCTAATACCTGATGCGATCACTGACCAACATGACAACTGCTATTCTTCAGAGTCTCCTGCAGAGATGCTTAGGGCTGCACAGACAGGGGAGTGAAGGTCATCTCATACCTTCCTGTACAGGGAGAGAGGCAGCTCCTACACCATAATGCCATAAGCAAGTTCCTGCTCCACACCTATTCACATCTGCCCCTAGGTGTGGGACAACACGCTCGCTTGCATAAATCTTCATACCTTTAGGCCAAGACCACAGCCCAGTAGAACAAGCTGCTGCCAGTTACAAAAGAGGAAAATACTGAACAAACTGGGAGGTTCAAGAGAGGAAAAGCTGGTTCAGAGAAGACAGATTTAGTGTAAAAATAAATGTCATTTTTGCAGGAGGGAGGGTGGAATGGAGGAAGACAGTGCCAGGTGCTCCTACTGGCGCACTTTCCCTGGGACGTAATTCCTATCAATAGTCTCCTCTTGCAGGAACATATGTAAGCAGCGCTCGTTCTGTGCCAGTGGGTGTCCAGCAATTCTGGAAGAAAATCAGATGTGGAGGTTAGCACAGCTGCCACTGAGACCCCCACACCTCCGCTCTCTGTAGGGAGTGAGTAAAGCAGAACTCCTTGCTAACGGGCAGCCAGCTCCAAGCACACCCGCACCGGCCTCAGGCCAAGGTCACTAGATTGGTGTGCAGCAGAGCCAGCAAGAGGTGCTTGAGCACAGGGTGTTCCCTCCCACACCATGCCCTGCAGCAGGGCTTGAGCATCCTGAACCAACGCTACCCTGTCAGTGGGTCTCTGCAGCACAGCTATTCTGCTAATATTTACTTCACTCTCAGAAAGTGCTGAACACAACCCACACTCAAGGCAGGATTTGCTTCAGAAGCGTGGTTTCATTACCCAGCTGCAGGCACAATCCTTTAGCACAGCACCTATGTGCAGCAGATCAAGACTCCTTCCCAGTCAACCCACAGCCCTCTTCTACCAGCAGTAGCCGGAAAGGCAGCAGACAGTAAACCAGGACATCAAGCTTACTTGTTAATAAACTGTTCTAGTCCCTGTCTCCGCTCCTCAATGAAGGACTCCTCAAAGATGCCTTCGTCTCCTCGGAAGGGAAGCTGTCGTTTCAAAGCTTTTCCAGGCAGCGGTGGCACTACAATCTGAAAGCACAGAATCACCCTGTCAGCACAACGGCTGCAAGACACTGATCTCCAGCCCCATTACATGGATAGAGATCAAGCCCCAACAGCTGCCCACCACCACAGCCTCTCTTCTGGGTAGCTCAAGATTATCCCTACAACTGTTCCCATATGTCCTGGTTTCAGGAATAGGCAGGTCTGAGCCAGGCCTCACCTTACTGTCTCGTTCCAGCTCATTCTTCAGCCATTCAAAGTCGCTGTATCGTCTCCTCACACACGACTCCTTCAATTTGAAGATTGGGAGGTTTGTCTGTAACAAAGAGAAGTAATTAATTTGCAGGTTGTTTTGGAAGCCAGATAGTATTTCAACACATAATTGAAACCTGAAGCTGCGTTTAGAAAACCAAGCCCCCTGAGAAGGAGGATCACAAGAACACCCAGCTTCTTTATTCAGGACAGAGCACAAGCACTGAAGCCCTTCAGAATCAAGCAAGCACTTGCCAGGCTACTCAGAGCCAGCCATTCCCTCCCCCTCGAGTGACTATTTCAGGAACACACCCCCTCCCAGGGGCACACGCTGGAACCAGGGTTCACAATACAGAGAAGGCTGATTTTTTTTTCCCCCAAGTTCACTCTATTTTGAAGTGATCTACAAGAGAGCTTCACAGCAGCCTGCAGAGTAAAAGAACCTCTGACCTGACACCGGCGTTTCCGTGGAAGAAGTAAGGGAGGAAATCTTGTCCCAGTAACTGTTCAAGGCCAGACCTCATGCTACAATATTCTCTCAGAACAGATCGCCTACCCTAACAGGCGAGCAGCTTTTTCGTATCTGGGTTGTGTCACTGGAGGAACGTGCAGGAATTCCCCACCTTTCTCCCGTGCCACTGAAGACTGACAGCTACAGTAACTTCACCTTTACCCTATCAAAGCAGCCTGAAACATTCAAGGAACTGAGGTAGCAACACCTTCTGACAAGCAGCACCCAGATGAACACAGGTATTGCTGCAACATGTTTAACTATATTCTTATGATATCTGCGAAATAAAACCAGCTGCTTTCAAAGCATCTCCACAAGAGCTAGTTTCAGTGGGACTAAGAGGTTCTCATTGCCACCTGCCAGGCACCCTTTGGCAAGCTGATGAAAACCAAGCATCAGAACAGAAAAAAGCAAACACCCGATTCTTCTGAAAGGCAGTGGAGACTTAGCAGTTATATCACGCTATGAACAGAAGTCAACACCAGCACTGTAACATACGCTAAAGGTAGCTTGTTTCAGGGGAAACTCAGTTTTACTTCCTTCAGCTATCAGATGCAGAGCTGTGAAGAGGTCCCCAGTTCAGCTTGGTTAAGGCCCAGTGAAGAGAACCCTGCAAGAAGTCCTCAGCCTGCTACGCACGCTCCTGGATCACAGGCTCTTTGTAAAGTGATCAAGCTGACTCAGGAGCGGTAGCTAGACTGCACTGTGATCAGGTCCCAAGATACTGCTAGCTAGCCTTCCTCCCCTGCTTGAGATAACCAGCTGCGTGCAGCCATGCCCTGCTCAGCAACCACCCAACGGTGCCCAAGTGCCAGGCCTCGGGCTCTAGAGAGGGCACAGGAGCAGGAGCCTGCTGAGGCAGCACCCTCCTTGTCCTTGTGCATACCAGCCCTCTCTGGATGCCGACGGGCCCCGGCAAACCCACCGGCTACAAGCCCTCTGACCTTGAGCCCTGGCCCGACGGAGAGCCGCAGGCAAGCTGCCAGCCCCAGCCCAGCACTGCCCCGCTTGCAGGGCCGGGGCTCACCTGCTCAGCCCCCCACCACCGCAGACAAGCGCAGTCTCTGCCTGGCTACCCCGAGTCCCAGGAGCTACGCCCGGGCTGCACGGGGCCGGCCTGGCCGGGCTCCCTACGCACACACC